TTACCTGGGAAATAAAAGAACATAGATAAATGCACTTACCTGGGTAAGTCTTTCTCGGGAAACACTTACCCGGATAAGTAACTTACTGAAAAGTGAATGGGGCATAAAATTAAAATGGAAAAAAGAGGAAAACTATTAGGGCCTGTTCTTTTTTTTTTTTTTTTTTTTTTGAGAGGGAGGAAAGTTAATCAATAGGATTTTGGTTCCCAATCCATATTCTTTTTTTTAGGTTTGTATGGGGTTCATAGAAAAATTATTTTCCCTGGGTATCATTTACCAAGATAAATGACACCCACTCCCAGGTGGGTATGGATGGGAAAAAATTTTCCATGAACAAAATTTATTTTCCCAACTGAGGGCAAAGTTACCAACACTTGGATGATACAAAATTGCCCCTTTTAATATGGTTTCTTATGGTTGAAACAACCATTATCTTATTTACATGAGAAATAAAAGAATATGGGTAATACATAGGTAAATAACTTCCCAAAAAGCGAATGAGGCCTTTAAAAAACCTCCTCCAATTAACTAAATTTTTAGTGTTGTAAATGGATCCAATCATATGAGATATACCTAAGACCTAAATTTGAATCATTAATTTTCAGACTCAAATCAAATCTCATTTACCATATTTAGATTGGATTAGGACATTGAATACCCAAAAAAAATACCATTATATCAAACCAAAAATGATCAAAATATTTTATAGTACTAGTACTAATAAAATGAACTCAAAATATCTTTCATATTGCATATCATGAATAGTGATTTGAAAATTACTTCCATGAGATGACTTATGTACATAAAAGCATATTTTAAACATATACTAGCGGGGATACGTGCGATGCACGGGATTTATTAAGCAAAAGCTAAATAATAGAAATGRTCATTTACTAAAGCACCTCCTATAGTTTCATGGATTTACTAAAATCTACCCTATAATTAGCATTTTACTAAAACACTACATATAATTTTCAATGGATTTAATCAATCTTCCATTAGATGACAGTGAAAAATGACAGTATTGACCCTAATGCTCATTTAAATAAATTTAATAAAAATAAAAATATTATTTCCGCCCTTATAAGACACAAACAACCATTTTATTGGCTATATTTGGTCAATTTTGTTTCGTATACAAAAAAAGTGTTAAGGGTATTTTTAGAATAAAAAATCATGGGTCTAATGGCAAAATAAACACTCCTTAGTGAAAGGTTGATTAAGTAAATAAGATGTAAAATATATGGGATGTTTTAGTAAAATGAAAACTATAAGGGAGGTTTAAGTAAATATGTAAAGTTATAAGGTGTGTAAGAATGGCAATGGGGCGGGGATCATATTCCCCGTCCCCGACCCCGATTTTGAAATTAACCCCTATCCCCGATCCCCAACAGGGAAGAGTTCCCTGTGGGGACCCAAATCCCTAGAATGTTTTCAGATAATAGTATTTTTTTAAAATAAATAAAAATTTTAAAGTATAAATAATGTTTTAAATATGTTTTGATATATATATATATATATATATAATATAAATAATATAAAAGTATATTTAATATAAATAACATTTAATATATATAATCGGGGTTGGGGCGGGGCGGGGACCTCAATCCCCAACCCAGACCCCGACCCCGACTGGGGATTCCTATTAATCCCCGTCCCCGCCCAACCCACCAAAACAATCCCCATCCACAGCCTCATCGGGTCAAGGAAGTCAGGTCGCCGTCGGGGATGGGGAAATTGCCATCCCTAAAGGTGTGTTTTAGTAAATGACCCTAATAGAAACACATAAGAGTATACAATTATTTTATATTTTCAACTTTTTAAATAATTAATAATTGCATATCTTATATACTACTTTTAATAAATTTTTATAATACAAAAATAACAATAATTAATTTTAGTTAGGTTTATTCATCAAACTGATGAAACCGATCAACCCGATCAACTCGACTTAAGTTGCTCGGTTTTCTAGTATTTTAGGTCGGTTTTAGTTCAAAAAGTTCCCAATTCGACCAATCTGGATCAGTTTCACTTTAGCCATTTGTAAACTGACCAAAATTGAACGACCTAACCATGGATATATATTAATATTTTATATTTTAAATATAATTTTTAATATTGAAAAATGGAAATTTTCCCATATTTCTTATCCCCGACCCCGATTTTGAAATTAACCCCTATCCCCGATCCCCGACGAGGATGGGTTCCCCGTGGGGACCCGAATCCCTAGAATGTTTTCAGATAATAGTATTTTTTTTAAATAAATAAAAATTATAAATTATAAATAATGTTTTAAATATGTTTTGATATATATATAATATAAATAATATAATAATATATTTAATATAAATAACATTTAATATATATATATAATCGGGGTTGGGGCGGGGKGGGGACCTCAATCCCCAACCCAGACCCTGACTGGGGATTCCTATTAATCCCCGTCCCCGCCCGCCCCGCCAAAACAATCCCCATCCCCGGCCCCATTGGGTCAGGGAAGTCAGGTCGCCATCAGGGTTGGGGAAATTGTCATCCCTAAAGGTGTGTTTTAGTAAATGACCCGAATAGAAACACATAAGAGTATATAATTATTTTATATTTTCAACTTTTTAAATAATTAATAATTACATATCTTATATACTACTTTTAATAAATTTTTTATAATACAAAAATAACAATAATTAATTTTAGTTAGTTTTATTCATCAAACTGATGAAACCGACCAACCCGATCAACTCGACTTGAGTTGCTCAGTTTTCTAAAATTTTAGGTCGATTTTGGTTCAAAAAGTTCCCAATTCATCCAAGCAGGATCAGTTTCACTTTGGCCATTTGTAAACCGACCAAAATTGAACGACCTAACCATGGATATATATTAATATTTTATATTTTAAATATGATTTTTAATATTGAAAAGTGGAAAATTTTTCATGTTTCTTAGTCTAAAATCTTTTATCATAAATCTAATTTTTAAATCTATTTTTTAATAATTGCACTGTAATTTTTAAAATTTAATTTAATTTTTAAGTTTAAATCTTTTGAACCGACTAACCAAACCAAAAAAATCGACCCAAACCGATACAACTTAAGTGGGTTGGATTTCACAAAAGGACAATCAGTTTCAGCTAACCAACTCCCCAACCTAACCAAGTTAATTTGGTTGGCCAAATAGCCTACCACCAAACCAAACCAACCCACGAACACTCATAATTTCAACTAAATTAATAATCTCATCTCTAATAAATAAGAATAGTTTAATCTCCAATAATTATTGAAACTTTATAGCAAAAATACATAATTATTGAAAATATATTGATAATGAAAAAAATACAATTATTACAAAAATACAATAAGTACTAAAAATATATTAACTTAGTCAATAAATAGTATAATCTCAAATAATAGTTTAATCTCTAATAAAAAATAATCAATAAGTTATAACAAAAATATAATAAATACAATAAGTACAATAAATTAAATTTAAAATTTTCAATAATGGTAGTTTAATCTCCAATAATTATTAAATGTTTTTTGTTAAATAGAAAAATAAAATAAATTTATACATAATCATTAAAAATACATTTATCACAAAAAACAATAAATAATTACTGAAATACAATAAATATTAATTTTAGTATATATAATTATATAATAAATACAGATTAAGAGTTTAAAATTATTACAAATAAATATTGTGTTTTGAAAGTTATTTTTTTGAATTATTACTTGATATAATTGAAATTAGTTATTTACAATATTATGTAAAAATATTAAATTATTGTTAATTTCAATATTATGTTATAATTATTTTTCTAATTTTTAGGTTTTTTAATTTATTACATAATTTCTTTATTTTAGCTATTTAAAATCTAGTTATGCTAAATATTTTGTTATTTAAAATATTTATTTATTTAAATACTTAAATAATATGTAAAATATTTAAAATTTAAAATATGAATTATTTATTAAATTTAATTATCCATAAAATCATAATTTATACTATTATTACATAATTTCATTTTTTACTTTGTAATATATTAAATATGAATTATTTATGTTATAAATACTTTTCTACTTTGAAGAAATTTTTTAAATTTATTACCTATTTTCGTTATTTTAACTATTTAAAATCTAATTATAATAAATATTTAATTATTTAAATATTTAAATAATCTATAAAATATTTAAAATCTTTTTTATTTAAAGCTATTACATATTATTAAATATTTAAAAAACATATAAATTAATAATCTAGAAAAACATAATTCAAATTGTTAGTACATAATCTCGTGATATATTTTGTAAAAATATAAAATTATTTTTTATGATTTTAATAAATATTTTAAAGTTATTATATAATTTTGTTAGAATATTTAAATAATTTTTAAATTTCTTGATCTAAACTTTATTTAGATAGATATAGATAAAAAGTAGGAGAGAGAATAAATAGGAATTAGAGATAATTTAGAAGAAAAACTCTCTACTAAATTAAAGATAACTTTGGAGATAAATAAAAATTAGAGATAATTTATAAAATAAATAAAAATTTGAGATAATTTATAAAATAAATAAAAATTAGAGATAATTTTGGCAAAAGAAATAGTGGGAGAGGTAGTTTAGGAGAAATTTTAAGAGAATAGATTATTTAGGTTATTGGGAAAATAGTTGAAAAAAGAAAAAAAAATTCTCCATTTTGTTTTAATATATATAGAGAGATGGTTTTGGATGGTATTGAATAGGATTGGAGTAGATCCATATTTGATCCGGGATCGTTTGATAACAAGTGAAGTGGCTGAACTGAGTGATTTGTTGATTTCTCTTCACTCTTCAATATGTTATCACATGGCTCCCTCTTAATGGGATTGGTTCAGGATTCAAAATTCTGATAAACGGTACCGTTTGCAGCCCCACCACATTATCCATGCATCCATTTGGAATCAAGTAAACAAATCCTATAAACACCCTAGGTTCTATCCAGATAATCCATGGAGACAAAAAAAAAAAAGAAGCAAATCATATTGCCTGAAATAGGATGAAGTCGAGTTCTAATTGCATTGTCTGAAACCACTTGTTGTTTCAAAAGAATATAGAGGACAAAATATAGACTTATAAAACCCCTTCATTCAGATTCTAGAACCGACATATAAGCTAGCTAAACCGATAGTTTTCTTTCAACTAATGGCATGTTATGAATGCCAAGAGTCAGACAACAGCAGCCACCGCATTTAAGGTCGCAGACAACCTACAGGGAGCAAAATCTCTCCTTCATCACCAGTCCACCACCCCCCGAAGGAAAACGAAAAATATGACAATAAGAAAAAGTTTTGCAGAATCCGAAAACCTCTGCATATGTTCATGCATCCCATTGACTTGGCCCATAGTGTATATACTTCAGATAAGAAGATGGTCAATAGGTCGCTTAGCCGTTTTTCCTTCTTAAACAAACTAACGTTTACAAGCTACATAATCAGCCGCTCTAGAATGCACCTCAAGGCACAATGACCACGTCAATGGACACCAGTGTGCCTTATTACTCTCACCAGCAGCCAGACACTGGATAAACAGATACAATCACTAGTTTTGACCACGGGATTGCAGCCTCTTCCTTTCTAACTCGAGCTACAAATTCATAAAAATAAAAATGAAATAAGGAAAAGATAAATATTCTTATCAAAATTTAGATCAACATCAAATAAATTCAGTTTCAGTCCATGGTCGATATGCCTTACCACTTTCTTCACCCGTTCATTGGCAGCTGGAGTACCTCCAGTAACATTTTCAGGGAGGTATGGACTGCTAACTCGCACTTCATTCATCACGACTATGGCAGTTTTGTCCCAGTGAACCGGAAGCCTGCTCACAGAATGAAGATTACTCAACAAGAACGCATGGGTTTAATAGAAAATATGTAATGTAATTAACAGTGGATGTCTAAATCATGTATATGATTTAGAAGCAGCCTTGACCTGTGAGAAGATGCAAAATGGTATGCAACCATGTATGAAGAAACAGTTTCAAAGTATTCATGCATGGCCTTTTCTGAGAACACGTTACTCTAGCAGCAAGACCGGTACAATGATGGGGCCTTCCGTACAACATAAAGACCATTACTCTAGCAGACTTGACCTGTTTTGCATAAAGTGGTTTCTCTCAAACCCATGTCCTCACACTAATCAGCCCAAGATTCTACCATTAAACCAAGCAATGGCCCCTCCAATACAAAATGAGTAAATTTATCAAAAAAAAAAAAAAACTAGATGCTATCTGTTCTTCTAAAGGTGTGAAAGGAAGCAATATCAGAAGCACAAGCACTAATACATATCACAAATCTAATGGGTCAATTACATAGATCTTGACAGGCCTTTCTCCTCTCTCGAAGGCAACTCAGAAATACTCCAGGAACCCTCCTCAACTTAAAGGAGAATAGAATAACAAAGGTGGCCATGGCCGGGTTAAGTCAAACACTGTCCACCCAACATGCTCAAAATTCCAACCAGGTAGGGAATAACCAACTAAAATTTACTAGGACACTGTTCAGTGGGGTAGGTATCAGTATGCAAACCCAGAATCACATGCATAGGATGCTCTAAGAGTTGATATGAAATAGATGGCCCCAGCCAGACTCACACCCTTACCTGTACCCAACACCCAACAATTTAAACAAAAGAATTCAAACACAAAAGACAAAAACAAGGTAATAACCATGTACTCAAAAACTACACTTTGCAGTAACGAAAGCAGACAGCAACCCAGTCTAGCTTCTAACTAAGTGTTCATTAGTGGACCCAGAGCTGCCCATCATCAATCTGGTCCAAACTCTTAGGCACAGATACTTCCAGGATGGGTATATTACCATACTTATGTTCAAGGGCCCAGACTTCTGCCTCAATTGTTCCTTATTACTTCCATATGAGGTTGGTTACAAGGAATCCAATCAGCCCTTCCAAATCTGATTTTCTAGTGTGGACAATGGCTTTAAATAAGTGTCTTTCTAGATCTAATTTGGAAAGAAGAGGTGTTCAGCTTCTAGATGTTTCTTGTGGGCTTTGTGGCTTTCTGCCCGAATCTACAGACCACCTTTGTCTCCACTGTCCAATTTCCTCTCAGGTGTGGGAGCACTTCTTGAAAGCTATGGGAATCAGCTGGGTCATAACAAGCACTGTCAAGGATCTGCTGTGTTGCTGGAAGATCAGAGGCCTCAAGAAGAAAGGAAAGTTGGTGTGGAGAACTATTCCAGCAGCTGTCCTTTGGTCCATTTGGTCTGAAAGAAGCAACAGAATTTTTTGTAACAAATTTAAAAGTCCAGAAGAGTTAGTGCAGGGGGCTGTCCTCAGCTGCTTATATCCCAGTCCCTGTGGAGTCTGTAATCTGAGTTGCTCCTAGGCTAGTCTTCTGGCTAAGACCTTGTTGTATCCTCTTTTCTATTTTGAATAAAATTACCTTACCTTTCAAAAAAATAAATAAATAGAACTTATTCCTAGGCTAATCAGCCAAAAATAAATTTTCAATTGTCACAAGTTCTTATTGCCATTCCCATTTTCCCTAAAGTTGGCTCAAATTCATATGGTTCATAACATGGTTGCCACAAAATCAAAGATCTACTTGGAGATGGTAGATGATGAAGTAGAATAACATGATTTCATGCTACTACTCTCTAAATTAAAATAAATTGATACCAAGACACCTAAAAATTAATGGATCTGGCCATGCGAATACTTGGACATGGTGCTCAACTTGGCACAGCATTTGAACATGTTGATGATGTTCCCAAAGTCAGAAAAAGAAGTACCCAATAATACTGCACAAGCTCTTAATGACAAAGGTGTCAACATTGCAAGTTTCCAAAGTTTTCTTTAGTTTTCTTTAAAACATTCATTTATTTCCCTACCCTCCTACTGTGGATTCTAGAGTTTGGCATGCCAACTTATCTATTAATTTATTCATTTATAGTCATGTCTCCATGCTACAACCCCTAAATGCAAACATGCCAGAAATCAGTGGCAACACAGCAAAGCCAACATTAGGAGCCAGGGTTAAAGACAATGAGTTCAGGCTATTTCGGTTTCTAGGATTGAGTTTATTGTAGAAAATACCAGCACAGAAGGGTTAAACTATGTAAATAAGAATTTAGAATTTAATGACCAGAAGAAATCTGTGTCTTATTAGGGCATTGAACAGAAGAGAATGGCAAAACAGGATTCATGTAGCTGACCCCATATAATTGGGACAAGGCTTATATGAAAAGCTTGGTTTAAAACCAATGCTTATGGCTCAACATTTAGTTCTTAATTATAATTAGAAAACTATGGCTTGACCAACTTTACAACTCTGTATATAGTTTAACTAGATCTCCTGTTAGATTCTGCCATTCTTATACATAGAGATAAAGATGGATTTTCAGAGGCAAGCTAAAGCCTTAGCCTCTTTAATAGTATGAGGGGCCAAAAACCACATGCACCTGAAGTCATCCAATCAATTACCACTCGACAGTCTCCTTCAATTGCCAAATCATTCCAACCTGATAAATAGACAAGTTTTAGGCCATCTAGAAGAGCTAATAGGTCATAGGATAGCTATCAGACAGGTCATTCTCTATAAACCAAAATGCCAGGCAATCAAGAAACAGCCCCCATCGGCCCATCCACAAGAAGTACTAGAGATGAGGATCCTGGTAAGCATGACTTGTTAATAGATTGCATGAGCGTACCCATGGAACAAAGGGGTAGAACCAACATGTCACATGATATGATAGGTGAAGATAAATAGATGGTTTAACCATTTGAAAGAAAGACACAAGGTGCCAACCAGCTGGTTGGTAAGGTCTCCTGTTGGTCGTAGCGGAGACTTGGGATTGAATCCCGCCTGCACCTGGATTGGGGGGGCTATGGGTTGGGGGATGGGCTACCCCCAGTTGTGTAGCCGTTCAAATGGTACTAAAAAAAAACATATTAAAGAAAGACAACTGCAGAAGTTAGAAAGAACAATTTGGTGCAAACGAGGGTTCAAATATGAAACGAGGAAGGCCAAAAATAATTGAAGACTTTTTCGAGTGATAACAGAAATAATTCAGGATTATGTAGTGAAATAAAATGCCATGGCTCACTCTTTAGTCAAAAAAAAAAAAAAAAAGAACATAAGAGGGGAATGGAGGAACACATATGTCATTGATTCCAGTTATGTAGGATGAAGCAAATGATAATGATTATTTTCATTTTTCTTCTATAGGGCTATTACCCAATGAAAGTCCCAGCTATTCTTGGGATGTGTAGACCCAATACAAACCTAACCTTAGGCTTTTTTTTTCTTTTTTTACAAAGTGTTACCATGACAGGTTTGATTTTATGAATGCCCATCTGCAAATAAAAATTGGATAGGGAAAAGAACTACATTTYCAAGGAGTTAAACTGCAAGCAGGAATTGGTTGAGGATGGAGTGTAGTATGGATATGTCAGTGTATTTTTTTTTATATTCCTTTCTTGATTTTGTATTTTATTTCATTTATCTCTCTTTTCATATTTTACCAATAAAATCTTTGTTACTACTGACAAAGAAAAACCATCAGGTTAAAGGAGAAAGGTCATCATGATGCGTGACCAAAAGAGAGGTTAAAATTGAGAACTTGAATGCCTTTGACAGTGTAAAGCAGAATACAGCCAAACTCTATTCCCACCAGGGGCGGAGCCAGGGGGGGACCCAGGGGAGCCATGGCCCCCCCTATGGTTCAGAAACTCCCCACTGAAAAACAGATTTCCATGTAAATTTTCTCCTCTCCCCACTCTCCATCACAATGATTGCCCCCCCCTATGGGCCCATCCATACTTCATTTATGTTTTGGCCCCCCTTATAACAATTTCCTTGCTCTGCCCCTGATTCCCACGTATTCACTCACTATAAGGATGTTTATTGATGTTGTAAAAGGTGGTCTTTTTGGAGCTAAGGATTCCTCAAGACGATACAATGAATAACTAAGCTATACCAAACTAGAGTCCTATGTGTGTTCAGGCTACCAATTATGCAACCAATCAGTTGCCTGGACACGAATTTTAGCAAAGCAGTCAGCTAGTTTGATACAAAGCAATGAAGTGGCATACTATAGTCATTTTGTATGAACTTTTGTATCCAATAAAAACAAACACAGAGCTTTAATTCAAATAGTCTACTAATACTTAAATATAGTGAACAAAGAAACAACCAAGTTTCTCACGTCTTGGAAATACGAAGTTGATTGTATTTCCAAGACCTGACAATGTCTGGAGACTAGAATCAGGACATGGCTGACCTCTCCAAACAAATGGAACAATATATGCAATTACATAAATACATAGTACTACGATGGAGGTAAAATTAAAAACTCAACCTGGATGACAACTTCTGACTAACTTTTTAGGATCTATCTCTAATCTCTATCTTTATAAAATGAAATAGTAACACTAAAAGGCTACACTTTGGTAGCACTTTTTTTTTTTGTTTTTTTAACTTTTTTTCGAATCTGGTTCAGAGGGGCTGGCCTACCCCCTGAACCACTTGCCAACCCGAAATACCCCCTGTAGGGGAATATCGAGAAGGCTCGAATATGATACGTATCGGCCGATACGGGCCGAACTGTGACGATATTTTGAACCTTGCAAATGACTACAAAGCAATCTGAAATCACTCAATCTGGTTCAATATATGTCCCATTCACTGGGTAAACCAATATGGCAATATTTGCTAGTTCAACCTGGCAGTTCACCCACCAAATGATCAAAACCCTCAAAAACCTAGAACCTGGTCAGATGTCTGGGCAACTGGTTCACTGGTTCAACAGCCCAGGTCAACAAAGGGTTGAAAACACTGGTGTAAACAGTAGCAACCTCCATACAATATTTGGAACATACAAAAATTGCTCATTCCATAGTCTGACATAAACACCTTGATACCTTTTTATTGTTAAAAATTTTATGAAGGATCAAAAAGAGACCTAATGTGCAACTACAAACAGCTGCATACAAATGAAAAGTGCAGAACATCCTCAAGAGAAAAGTGACAGGAAATAGAAAAGATTGTCCCCTGAATCAGAATAAATGCACAAGACTATCCAGAGAATCAGATCCCTAGTATAAAGCAGTCCCTAACCAAGCTATCTGCCAAGAAATAGGATGACCTTGGAACCCATCAAAATGAAAAGAGCACGTAACAATGAAGCCACCTCAATCAAATCTCAAGCCCTACAAGCCAACCATTCATGGCTACAATTTAGACATGTAAGACTAAGCATCTCATGTTTGATATTAATTACTCAGAAAACTATATTTAGTTGCATATCATTTCAGTGAGTCTTGTCATGCAGCCAAGTTCAAATGCTCATACATTGCTATCTATTGGCCAAGGGGAGGGGTGTCTCAGGTTACCCAAAGCTCCGATACATCAGGGAAGGCTCTCTATCGCCAATAAACTTAATATCCAATGATATGAGTCTTGGATTTTACAACAACCAGATTCACGTACCCCTTTCATCCATGACAATTAATTTTTGACACCGAGTTTTGAGCTTCTGTACATCCTCCCGCTTTATTTTTCTTCTACAACTATTTCTTTCACACTTCACACTTACCAGTTACCACATACTCACTTGACCCATCACCCCCAACCTCTCTCTTCAACTATTAAATAATTCACCAACCCCTTCAGGATATCCATCAAAATATCACTCTAGAATTTCACCCTATCTCCTTTTTTTAGTCAACCTTATTACCAACAATCTTTTGAAGGAATAAAAAAGGAGAGATATACACATTCTAATTGAGTATGTAATATAAGGCAATCTTGGGCCTTGAAAGTTGTAAACCAAGGGGCACTTCGTTGGTGTGTGGAAAACTAAAATAAAAGAGCAATTTGTTTACTGGGGGAAATCACTAGCATCTTCATAGGCTACGGCAGGGTCAAAGATCTACCAACGTAATGTTCATATAATCGATTTTTTGGTGATTAATATTCCAATAATCAGAACTATGAGATGGTGTACCCGAAATAATAAAACTAACAAATTAGTTCTTGTTGTAGAATAAAAATAAGAAAAAAGGTAAATTTTGATGGGTAAGACGCTCACGTCTTCGACAACGCATCGAAGATGCTCTGTGCCTCGCTTGTAACACCCACACCTATCCTCTCAGCCTCTATCTCTGCTTGTCTGCAACTCGCCACATCGAAACATTGAATGAGAAACGCAAATAAAGCAAAACTGGTATATAGGTTGTGTTCCTTTTTTTTTTTTTTGATAAGTAAGATGGTTGTGTTCCAGAATTGATCACCTTATAGCAGATTCCTCCCTGGCTTGGAGACTATTAAGGTCGAGGTAGCATTTCTTGAGATCGAGTGGGTCTTCTGCCTGGCCCAGAAGGTTGAATTCTTTTATGTAGTTAGCCTTCAAGAAGCGAACGTTCCGACGAGGTCCAGTTTTCGAGCCCTCTTGTGCTGATCAAACTTCGTTAGGGAATTCAATCATGGACTAAAGAAAACAATACCCAAATTAAAAAAGAAGAAGAAGAATCTTTTCCGTTCCTTATTGTAAAAAACAAATCCAGAAAAGAAAAAGAAAACAGAAATTATAGAAACACCGAATGAGTTAAGGAACCTAGAAAGCTGGTAAAGGATATGAAGAACGAGAATGTTGGAAGGTCTGTCGAAGGTGATGATCTGGCCTTCGAACTCTTCCCCTAATGTGGTCTTAATGGCGAGCAAGCAACCCACTGCGAATTCGTCGCCGTTGTTTGTATCCGTGGCCATCGCTGCGCTGCGCTGCGCTGCTGCTTCGTCTTCTACTGCTATAAAACTCAACTAGGTAAGGCAATTTACAGCACCTCGATGCGCACAATAGGTAACATACACCCTAGGATTTCTTCCATACACACTCCCATCTCCAACGGAGAATGGAGATGGGCCATCCTCATCCTGGACCATAACGCTGGACTGAAGAAGAAGCATGGGCCACCACCATGTTASGGTTCAGCACWGGCTTAGCCTTGYCTACGCTTGGTAGGCTTACGTTAGGGACATGCCCGTCATTTTCGCCTGTAAGATTTTTGGGAGAACTGATGTCATCTTCAGGCAGACCATCAGAAGCTTAACGTACTCTTTGAGGAGGGGTGGTCGACCTACTTGGGTGCCTAACC